GTCTTATATAGACAGGTGTGTGGCTTTCCTAATCACGTCCAGTCAGTATAATCAAACACACCTGGACTCAAATGAAGGAGTAGAACCATCTCAGGGATGATCAGATGAAATGGACAGAGCCTAAGTTAAATATATGAGTGTCACAGCAAAGGGTCTGAATACTTATGACCATGTGATATTTCAGTTTTTCTTTTTTAATAAATCTGCAGAAATGTCAAAAATTCTGTGTTTTTCTGTCAATATGGGGTGCTGTGTGTACATTAATGAGGAAAAAAATGAACTTAAATGATTTTAGCATATGGCTGCAATATAACAAAGAGTGAAAAATTTAAGGGGGTCTGAATACTTTCCGTACCCACTGTAACACGGCTAAACTGTAAATGGCTCTTTTGTCTGAGTGCACTTCTTCAAAACAAGAAGCTCAACCATTCATGCTGTGTTGTTGTTCATATTGAGGAAGCAGAATGCTGTAAACTTGGAAATAAATATTTAATTTTTCTTTTTTGAGCAGAAAAGATTCACTGCACGAATACTAAATAGAATATGTGTGTGCATGTATTTATCAGATGTGTGTACATTTACAAGCACATGAAAGGCAAGATGAATCCTGTAGAATTTACAGTACATCTCAAGTCAAAGTCAAGTCAGTGTTTATTGTCAGTTAGGAAACATGTTTCCCTGTACAATGAAATTTTTACTTTGCCGTCCACATGAATGCCACAAAATGCAAATGAAATATAAAGTAGATAAGTAACACAAAATCTAAGGCACTTTAAGCAGCAAATGCAGCAATATAATAAAAATATATAAGAATATAATAAGAGAATGTATGCTGCATGGGAGCAGTATATGGAGCAGTCAACAGTCAATGTGCATCTGAGTTTAATGTGTCATTTCAGACAAAAAGCCTTTGATTGTTACAGCACAACAGTTATCAGTGATCACTGGTCACACATCTGCTCAGCCTGTTTACTCCAGGAAATGACAAATCAGTATTTTATTCCTGGACAGATATTTGCTTTGTGTGACTGGAAAAGTCTCTGGAGCCCATTTCATCCTTACAACAGTATACACTCTGAGACACTGTGTGTATGAGCTGTCTGAATAAATCCAATCTTCTGTCTACCTACAGTGGATGGAAAGAGCAGAGAGAACTATCATTTATTCTTATTATGTATTCTTACTCAGGTGAGTCTGCTGTGTAATGGAGGATGCACATCCACCTTAATGTACTTATAACTTTATTATGGTATAACTTTGCATTGTATTCAAACTTGATGTCTAAATGCAATACAGATTTATAGCACAATAACTAGTTACATTGTGAAAATATAGCTGATATGCAGTGATCTACTGATTTAGGCAACTTATACACATGTTGAGTTTGTGGGAGCTTTCAACTCCAAATGTATAATGTGCTTGTGAAGTGTGCATTTAGTCATTTTGCATTCAGTCTCTGCAACACAAATGGAGCATATTCTGTATGGAATATGAAAAGAAGCTTCTTTTGCTGCTGATCGAGCATGAGCCCCTTCATACTCTTGTGCTTTTCAGGCCTCATGAAGCTCTCTGTCAAGTGGTAAACTCCATTTGTGTGTGCACACTAGTGGTGGATGGTATAATAGCTTGGA